GGCGGCCGGGAGCCGGGGCCGCGCCGCGGCGGCGGGCGGGCGGCGGGGCCGCAGGGAAGCGCAGCCGCCCGCTGCCGGCGCCGTTTCATAGTTTACGGGGGGTTTGCAAGGCGCCCGAGCGATTTCTGGGTAGCTGTGGCCAGTGTATTTACTAAAAATGTGAGGTAGATGAGCGGCCGGTAGCAAGGCTGTGTCCCCCGGGCGCAGAGCTTTCCTCCGGACGGGCAGCAGCTGCCGGGGAGAGTCGCTCAGACCCAGCCAAAGTTTGTTCTCCTTCCAGAAGCCGGAGAAGGGGTCGGCGGGAGCGAGCTCCGGCCGGAGGTCGGCGGCAGACAGCGCCCGGCTTAGTTTCCTCCGTTTCGTCTTAAGTACCCGTTCGGTTTTGCAGGATGTGTACAGGGCTTCCACGTCCTCTCTGGAGATCAGGGTGCATTTGGCGGCGTGGAAAGCGATGGAGTTGATGGCTTTGAGTTTCCTCAACTCCTCCAGGTCGCAGTGATGCTTTTTTACTTTTAAATGATCCATTCGCTTGTGCACGGTAGTTCGCGGGATGTTTTTGAGCAGGTCTGTAAAAACCTGGGAGAGTGCAAACATTTGCTTTCCTTTAATGATGAGGTAGCCGAGCCTCACGCCATCCACCTCTTCAAAACCCGACTTCAGGTCTCCCATTTCGTGAATTAAATTATTCCCAGCATTTGCAGAGAGAGAGAGAGATGAAAAAAAAAAGAAAAAAAAAAGAAAAAGCCACACACACACAATCCTCAGCCAGATGCTGTATTTGTCTCAAGGCATCCTGCTAATAAAATATAACAAAGGCTGTTATTCCTGGTGAATGAAGTGCCAAACTTTAGACAAAATAAAAAAAAAATAAATTAAAAAATACCGTGAGGCTACAATCAATATATAATCTTAAAAATCAGGTTTGCCAAAGTGTTTCTCTAAGTTGCTTCTGAAGATCAGTACCTGTTCCCTTTCATTCCCTGCTTTTCCATTGGAAACTATGATAATGGAATGTGAAGGGAGGAAGAGAAAAGAAATGCAGCTGCTATTCCCGCCGCTGCTTTAGCTACAAATAAAATGACAGAGTGAAGTGAGCTCGTCCGGAGACACCTTCATCAATTAATTCCCCTAAAGCCAACGCTGATTGGACACTCCTGACAGGTGATGCAATAAAAATTGATATTCCACCCCTTCCCCCAAAAAATCTCCCACTAATTAGCATACCCTTATACTGCCACCTCCCCTCCCAAAGTAAATAATACAGTTAGTATATAAATCTTTCTATTAAACAATCCGAGCTCAAACATACTCAGCCCTCTCAGACTTCCTCGTAGCTAGCTTCCGAGGAAGGATTTGTATGCTTTTCCCCCCTGTCGTTCCGTATATTTTCAGCCTGTTTTGGACAAACGTTGCTCTTTTGTGCATGCCGTGAATTTAAAGGACATAAGTCTGATCGTAACGATGGAAAATCCTTCGGTAACGTAGCCGCTTTAAACTAGCGTTTTATTCTCCATTGTGTGGAAAATGAAGCTTAGAGTAAACGTGCAGAACAGCCTGGTATTTCCCCTTCTGAGGCTCCAAAGTTAAATGTTCGGTTGCTAACGAGAGGGAATACTTACATTTTCGAGTTTCTCTTGATTTTCCTCTTCTGCTTAATTAGGTTTTTACAGCCAGGAACTAAGGTTATTTTTGCTGTCTGAGTATCACGGGTTCCTGCACCGTGATACTGTAACACTTTTAACTGAAATTCTGCCTGTAGTATTGCGGGAGGGGGGAGGAGGACGTGAGCTCACGTCAGACCCATAACAAAGCATAGATAAGCCAGAAATGTATACACTTTTCACGATGAACCGTACTGGATCACGAGCTGGAATGTCCTATAGTCCCAGAGCCCACGTCAGGATTCCTGCGTGCTGATTGCTTCCAGCAGAGAAAGGAGAATGTAAAATATCCAAGGTGCTTCCAAGAGCCTTTACGTAATAACAAAAAAGTGCTGGCACACACAATGTACGATATTGCATCGGGCTAGGATGCTTCTGGCTCGCAGTTTGCATATTCCGCTCGGAGTAGCCCAGCCGAAGCTTTTTGATGCTCCATTTATAGCAGCCCCTTAAAATCAATTGGAAGAAGCAGCATGAATGTTTAACCTCTTCTTAGGAACGTTAAATTATTCGAGTGTCAGGAACGGGGATTTCGCAAATGTTGCGATAGCTGCATGCCTCTCCCTTGTCACGTTAACGTGATGCTTGCGGTTTGCACGTTAGGCGCTGCGAAAAAAAAAATCACCAATCTCTGCCGTGCATCCAGTGTTCCGCTGGATACAAACACCAGCACTTTTATGTATCACTGCACATCCAGAATTAGACACATCCGCGAGATTAATGAGACATCTCATATTGCTGTGACTTGGCAAAAAAATCGACGGAGAAAAAAAAATTAAAAATCTTCAATCTCAAACGTCAATATCCACTCCGCATGTTGGCAATATGGTGCGTGGAGTTCGTGTTACCCCGTCAGGTACAGCTAAAAGAAAGCGCATAATCACTCTGTGAAAAAGCAGTTTTGCATGCCAAGGCAAAATGCAGGCGAGCCCCCAATTTCACAGGAATTCGAGAGAGAAGTGGGAATTTGGAGAAGTGCATCCGGGAATGGAGGAAGTCTATTCAAGAGAGCCTCTAACTCGGAGGGCTGAGATTTGAAAAGTCAGCCCTGGACTACTGTTGCTCTCAGCGCAGATGTAATCGCCGCTGTTCAACTTAATCCATGTGTGTGCGAACCGCGATGCCTAGTTCTTCCCTTTGAAACCTAGGGATAGTATTCCCATCCGAGAAAGCAGAGCTACAGCAAATTACATTTTGTCCCTCGAATTAGAAAAGGATCATTGAGTGGATCTCGTGATATTTCAGCCTTTAAACGTAACCGAGAGGCAGCAGTGAACAATGCCTCGGCACAGCTCAGACCATCCGCGGAGTTCGCCTTCCCTCTCCTCGCATCTGGATCCCCCAGCCTTGCCTTTCTCTTGCTCGCTCGTGTGAGAGGCACCCTCGTATATGCTGAGGCTGAAAGCAAAAGTTTCGAGAGAAAACAGCTGCTGGCGCTAAAAAGAAATCATCGTGGTCTTTCTAGAGCTAGAGACAATAAGGTCGTTTAAAAATTCCTCCTGATGTACTTATATGCTGCCAACACCCCCACCCCCTCCCCACTGCTCTCCTCCCCCTGCTTTAAGGTTAAGGGTATGGAGTCAACAGTAAAGGAACTGTAAACTCCGATAAAGCTGTTCAGAAGACGTTACCAAAAACCCCGATGGGATGAAAACTCCTTTATCTGTCAGGTAGTTCAGCTGGGTCAGATTCCCGTGTAAATCCACGCGTGCGTTCGCACGCAGGAAGCCACGGGCACCCAGACCTGCACCCACGCGCTGCCGGTGACAGCCAGGCAGTGGGATTCGGCAACTATTTTAAAAATGCCCTTTTTTTTTCCCTTTAATTCCGGCGCTACCAAACGTTTAAAACTAGTGACGGCTATTCGGCAAACCTCGGGCTCCCGAAAGGTGCGGCCATGAGCACCGGGGCCGAAGCAGCGCCAGATGTCGGCAGGGAGAAACACACCAGAAGTCTTGGGAAATGTCAGGCGCCCAACCTACACATCCCCACCGTATACTTACACACACTTTCGGTTGCATATCTTACTCCGCATCTCACACGGAGAGCTTTGTTTCTTTACTTCTCCATCGTTTGTTTTGTTTTGGTTCTTTTCGTGTGCGTGTGCGTGTGCAAGAGGCCTCTGACGGCTCTTTATCAGGATCTCCCCCAGCCCGCTTGAAGACGACCCCGGATACACAATGTGTGCTAAGGGCCAAGGGAAAGCACACACACACGCACATTAAAGGCAGGGGACTTGAAAATGGATTTGCACGCACACAGGGGATTGCAATCAATAGCCACCAACATTTATGGTTTAGATGGTTAATGTGAAAGCTGGTCAAAAGAATGAATATGAAAAATTAAAGGTGTCTGCTGTCAATTACATGAAAAGTTATGCCATAATTTACTTGCTGGGATGTATGCCTGCGTGTTCGTGTGTCCATGTGCATGTGTGTGCAGACCCAGATGTACATGTAGCTATTTCTCAAAAGCAAGGGAGTTTCTTTGTTAATTTTGTGGACTGTGTCACTCTCGCTGGTGATCAAAGATGAACATGATTAAAGGGATGGATGTTTGTCTCACATTTCATAAGATAAGGACGCCCAGAGATGCCCGGTTTTGCCAAATACATACACATGCAACTACAGAGAGTTGTGTGTATGGGCGCACACACACACAGAGGCGATCAATCAAACGTGCTCCTTTTCACATTGAGTAGCGTGCAATCTGCAATCTACACTCTATAGCCAGTAGTATTTCAGTCTTGAAACTGTCTGGCCTAAGGATAAACCTCATTAGAAAAGAAAGAGCAAAATAATATTCATAATACTTTGCTGCAGACCTATTCCCATTTATTGGAAATCATATACTTGGATTTTTGTAAACTTGTGTTAAAATCTATATGCTCACAGGGAAGTGCTTAGCCATGTCATTCCAGAAAGAAAACGTGTGTAACGTTTAAAATACTCCTTTTACGTGATGATTTATTTTCATAGTATGATTATGTTTAAATACCAGTGCAATTCCATCTGAACTCTTCCTTCTGCAATGTAGTAATGCACATACCATTTACAGTCTTTTAAACGTTTTGTTGGGAAATGCAACAGCAACGTCCACCACCAGTTGTACTAATGGGGAGAATTCTTTTGAAAATCTTCAGGAAAACCTAAGAGGTCATATGCATTTTAACACTAGGATTGCCACATTATTAGAGTATTATTATTATTTATTATTATTTGTTAATGCTGGACAATGTCTTCAGGTACTGACAAGCATTAAATAAACCTTTTGCTTTCATGATGCTGGGCAGAAATACATATTTCACATGAGAACTTGATTTCTAACACTACACTCTGCTTCTAGGTACTGCTGGGCATATTTTGCTCAAGGAGGACACAGACAGAGAGCAGCTAGAGGCTATCACAAAGAGTCCAGTAACGGAAATATAATAGGGTCAAAGAACAATATAATAGGATCCTTCTGCTATTTTAAAGTCAGCCAAATGTGACTGTAGTACCTAAAATTTGCTGTAAATTCTACTCTGACAATGTATCAGAATGTATAACTAAATCTCCTAAATGTGTGGCACAAAGAAATACCAGCCACCAGTCCAGGAAAAAAAAATCGTAATCTGGCTAACACTCTTATGCCTAGGAGTTTCAGGGTTGTTTTTTTCCTTTCTTTTCTTTTTCTTTCTCTCTTTTTTTTTTTTTTTTTGGTAAACAAAGACGCAATGCAGGGTTCTACTAAGTGCTTTTTAAGTTTTTGTTTTTGGGGATTTTTTTGGTTTTTTTTTATGGGGGCTGGAATGTTTCTTGCACACTAGAATTTTGTGCAATTTATAATCACCATGAGCTAAGACTATTTCTTGAGTTTAATACTCATGGTAGTTTTAAAATACTTTTTAGCAGGAGTTTCTGGACACATACTACATGCCATGTTGTTTACTGACCCATAATCAAAATGCAGTGACCTTCTACCCTTTTTTTGCCCCTTGACCCATGCTGAATTCAATGCAGCCTTTATAAATTTGCAAATCCTTGGACGTAAAGGGGATTTGGTGAGGCTTTGTTCTGAAAGGATCCTAAAAGTTTGCATTTTTAATTAGACAAAGGTAAAGCAACAAACATTGGGAAATAAGATCCTCTCCTGCACATAGGTTATCGCTCTTAATTTCTGCTCTGGGAAACTACATCTTAAAAACCGTACCCTGCAAACTGAAAAGCAGTTGAAAATGAAGGCTATAAGGAGGTTATGAATTGCACCAAATTAGCAATGTGGTACAAATCACTTTCATGACGTAAGGGATGACCAGGCCACAATCTTCCGGCTCTCCTCATCTCCAAGGACTGTGTGGATCCTGGAGACCCGGGGAGAGGGGACAGCCAGCGATTTGATCTGGAGCTACAGGCGCATTCCCTTATCTCCTTTGCTATCAGTCAGTTTAAAGGACACCATAATTATGATGGTGATAAAACAATGCCTGCTTATGTGTGCTGAATAAATAAAGAATGTTTACAGCCCCAGAATGTTTCAATTCCAATTAAATGCTATCAAAGAAAAGCCCCTCTCCCTCCCTCTCCCCTCCCTCCTTCTTCCCCACGACTCCCTATTTACCTTGTTGGTTGTAATATGGCCCTATGAAATAAACCGGCCTTCCAGTTTGCCATTAAGGCCACATCGGGAGGAGGGGGAGGAGGAGGAGGAGGAGGAGGAGGAGGAGGAGGAGAGGGGGTGTGAGACAACATGCACTCCCGGTCCCACAATTACTTGGGTCACCTGCATCCTCTTTCTTTTTTTTTTTTAATTTATTTTACTATTATTTGTTTATTTTTCAATTGGAAAAGGCGTGATGATGCAGGAGGAAAAGGCACTTAAGGATCCCGCTCCAACCACTGACTGAGGGAGTTGGGCTGAATTAATCCGGCGCCCCTGGGCACTGGAGGAAGGGGCTGTGTCCACCCCCCCATGGCTGCCACCCTGCCGGGGCCTCGGGGAGCGGGGTCTCCCCACTGCTCCTCTTCCCTCTCTGGTGGGGAGCCTTGGAAACGGGAGCCTGGAAATGCTTCCCGCTCACTAAGACACAAGGATCATTTCAAATATTCATTGTATCAGCAAATCTCATCATAATCAGATTAAAGCAAGGTTTAGGGGGGGACTGCCTGTGTTTCTGGGTGCGAAACATCGACTGGACTACAAAGAAAGCAGAAAACTGGTTTATCTCCTCCTGGCTTGGTTACACAGGAGAAAAATGAAAAGCAGTAATTTTTGCAAGAAAAGGACACTTTAAAAAGCTGTGATTCTCCCCATTCCACTCTGGGTAGCATGTTCCTCTCAGAGGTTTTTTCCCTTCAAACTTTACGCTTAATATTTCTATACGATGCTCTTATTTATTTGCTTTAAACTCCAGAGACTGTTTCTGCTGCGGAATATACTGAGGTAGATTTTCTTCACGACAATTTGCTTTTAGCTTATCTCAGCTGAGGGAACAGCTTTTCTACATTCAAGCTTTAAAATGTATATTTCGTTGAGTTGTCTGAGGTGAGATGTTTATATCCATTTTGTGGAAGTGAGTGAGGAACTGAGTGCATTTTCAAGTCTGCTCCTAGATGCAGGCCCTTTTCCTTTTGAAAGTTTAGACCTGCAATACCCTCAATTCTACTGGCAGAATTAGGATGGACTTGGAGGGTCCTAAACGTGACCATTCACTAAGGCGGGGGGCTTGCAACAACGTGCTCGGCAACTTAATCTTACGCTAAAAAGAGTAGAGAGCGTAAAAGAATGGAATACAAACTCTCCCGACATTTGTAGTCGCTTCCAAAGTGGACCGTGCATTTTAAGGCTGATGGGAACGTGTGTATTTTGGAGCAAAAAGGAGAGAAGGTAAGTGTTTATCCTTGTATCCGCCAGTTCGGTAGAAACAATGAAAGAACAAAGGGAACCACTTCTCCATGTTAACATTTCACATTTTCCTCCTCCGTTTGAGCCTCGCTGCGAGGGGCTGGCGGGGGGGGGACCGGCTCCAACTTTACCTTCGGCGGCGGGACGGGGGTGCGGGGGACGGAGAGAAAGTTGCGGGGCGGTTCGAGTCACCCCCCGTTCACCGGGAGCCTACCGCGGGCAGGAGCTGCAGATTTCATGGCTGTGGACTTGCCGGAGATCCCCCGCGAACCGCGGCCGGCGGGAGCGGGATCGGGGCCGGGACCTTTGTGTGCGGGGTCTGCCTGGCCCCGCGCTGCCGGCGAGGACGGAGCTCCCCGGTGACTGCCGGGCAGCGGGAGAGGAAGCAGAGGTTAGGAGCTGAGGGTGGGAGTGGGGGGGGGAGAAAAAGCCCCTCGAATTATTCGCAAATCCCATAAATCGCGTGGAAGCGCGGTGGGGGAGGGGCTGGGGGCGAGCAAACCCCGCGCGGACCGTTACAAAGGGCGGCGGCGGCCCGGGACACACGGACACACACGGACAGACAGACACGGGCACGCACACACACGCGCTCGGTGTTCGCAGCCGCGGAGGGCGGCCCGGCCCCGGCCCGCCGCGAGGCACCGGCTCGGCCCGCCCGCCATTGGCGCGGGGACTCTCGGCCGCTGACCTTTCACCCCCCCCCACCCCCGCCCGCCGCTTCCTCTGCCGCCCCGACACCTTCCTTCCCACAATGCCGCGCGCCGGCCGCGCTCGTGCCGCGCTCGAGCCTCCTACCAGCTCCCG